ACGATGTCGCCATTGATTGCCTTAGCATGCTTAGTGTTCAATATAATTGCTGTGCTCTATATCAAATATCGTCATCTCTTGAACAACATTTAGAGCTAGCACATAAGTATCGAAGTCTATCTATATACATATATAATATATTAAACATCTAGCTATATATCATATCAATCAATCAATCAGAGAGTCTTGTGCCTGCTTTGCTATGAACAATTTTTGGTCTATGTCAATGAATATATAACTTTAACTTTCTCTTTTACGCTATATATTCGTCTTTTCCTCTGTTACACACACACTCTATCCCTCTCTATCTCCCTTCCTCTCTGTCTCCCCCACTCTCACTCTCTCTCTCTCTCTGTCTCTGCTTCAATCTAACAATGACAAACGTACAGCGATGTAGAGCTTCGGCATCAGCGCAATCTGAAGGACCTGAAGGCCGCCTATGATGCTGAGAAGGCGGCGCTGGATAAACGCGACATTAGCAACGCCAACGAGATCGAGCAACTGCATCGCAAGTGCCGCTGCCTGACCAATCTGTAAGTCTGTAAGCCCAGTCTGGGGCTGAACTCTGCTTAACCTACGCTTAGCCGTGTCGTCTCGTCTTGTCGCTGCATCCGGATCGAGACGCCTTGCACGCATCACTAATCTCAATTCGCGAATCCTTTTGCAGCTTCGAGGAGATGCGCATGCGCTATGAGCGCCGTGATCCGCGCCCCGAGGACCTGCGCGAGATCGCCGAGCTGCGCCAGCGCTGCGACAGCCAGGAACGGGATCTGTTTGTTCTAACGGACCGGCTGCGCGACATGCAGAATCAAATGGCCGAGCAGCAGCTGCAGCAGCAGCAGCAGCGAGGCAACGCGGTCAAGAAGCCGCCGCCGAAGACCCTGGCCACCAGCTGTGATGTCATCTATGAGGAGAACGAGGAGCGTGAATCGCCCGAACTCGAAGTGAACGGCAACTGCTCCGCCTCCTCCTCCAGCCAGGACGATGGCGACGAGGAGGAGCCCGGCGAACAGGAGCCCAGCGACACGGAATCCAATCACACCATCGAAATCAATGGCAAACGCAAGGATCGCATCAACGAGGACGATGCCCACATGATCTCCGCCGTCTGATCCAACCGAACGGATCAGGAATTTCGATTCAACTTGAGTCTCACGCCGGGTCCGTTGCAGCCGAGGCGCAGTCGAGCCGCGTTGCCCATCGCAGAGTTTCCTTCACTCACTAACCACAAACCACTCGATCCTTCGAGTTGCCCACACTGTCCTCTCACCCTGCACCACTGAGCACTGACAAAGAAACACTAAACTACATAAAAATTGTAAAATACAATCTGAACTGGTTTCAAAAACCTACAATAAACAAAAAGATTTAAAAGTAACAAAAAAATGAAACTTTAACGAAATAAATGTAAATATTTTTAGCAAGTTTAACAAAGCTTTTATTTTTCAATTTAAAAAAAAAATGGAAAGAAATTTTTATATACTTTTTTTTGAAAAGGATTTCATTGGGGTAAAAATAATATTTTTTTTAATTTCTTATATATATTATTATGTATATACTTAATATTTTTGATAAGACTTTTAGTGCATAATTTTTGGTATCATGGACTTCAAGCCTCTTAAGGACTAAAAACTTTTGTATAAATATTTTATTTATTTAATTTAGAAATAAAAATTCTAATTTTGAAAAGTTCCCTCAAAAGTATAAGAGTTTTGATTTCCTAACTTATAATGTGATCTATCTATTTGTATCTATCAATAACTGTTAGACTTCCAGAGTTGTAGCTAAAAGTTGAAACTAAAAAGGGTTTTAAACATGAAAAAATGGTAAGAATTAAAAAAAAAAAAAAAAAAAAAAAAACAAATAGCATATAACCACAAATCATGACACATAGGAATGATAGGATATGAGAGGATAGAAATTTATATAATGATCAGCGCCGTGCTGAGCGTTCTGCGTCGACCAGGCTGGTAGACTTTCTCTCTATCTTTCTTTCTCCTTCTCTCTCTCTCTCTCTCTCTCTCTGTCTAGTCTTTTCTGTAAAAGTACATAGTTTTCTGAAAACTAAACTCATATCAGAGATTTGAAAATTTTTATTATTTATTTAATTTTTTTTATTATTTTTTTTTTTTTTTTTTTTAATAATACATAATATAATATAATAATAATATTGAAAATAGTGTTTAGTGATTTTTGAGGTGTTTATAAATTATATAAAATTAAAGGTTCTACAATGTAAATTTATGACTTTGCCATTTAGGAATTTTTTCATAATGCCTAAGCGTAAATTTTCATATTTGGTTTTCCATAGCGATTTTCGTGCGTGAGAAAATTTAGGATTTAATTTTATAAAGCGTAAATTCAAGTATTTTCAATCCTTTTATACACATATATATGCATCGATATAAAAAATAAGTGATTTAATTAGCTTTAAGCATTGATAGACTTAGAGTAGTATCAGCTCCAACTGATTCCTCCATCCCTGCCAATATTTCTGGGCCAGTTCGAGAACGAAAACCAGAGCAGCGGCCGCATCAAATGTGGCCAAAAGTTTCCACACCCAGAGCAGGTCGCGATTTGTGAGTGGAGCGTGGATGAACTCGGCATACGAATGGGTTTGGTTGTGGGGCTCGATCTGGGTGGCCGTCAGGCTGTGCATGGCCTCCGAGATCCAATGCCTGACCAGGCCGACGTCGTGGGCGCGATAGATGAACTCGTTCAGGGTTGCCTTGAAGACGGAGTTGTTCTGCACGAGGCCCACAATGGGATAGTCATAGAACAGGATCAAGCCGGGGGATTCGCATAGGACGTTCCGTCTGTAACGGCTCTGGTAGTTGTTCACGATCTGCCAGAGTCGGCTGGAGGTCTGGTAGGCGTGGTGCGTGTCCAGGGCAAACATCAGAGCGTTGCGCTTGATGGTGGGCGTAAGAATCTTATTGGTCAACTGGCCGATCTGCTGGCGATTCACCTGCAGCTCACTCATGCTCGCTGCATACTCGTCGAACATGACAGGCAAGCCGCTCTGCTGCAGCTCCTCGAAGTTCTGGATGTGCTGATAGCAGGGCAACTTGGTCAGCAGGGCGCTCAGGCTGGCGCTGAAGAAGCAGCTGAAGACCAGACTGAAGACGTACATGATCATGAGGAACTGTCGCATCGTGAGGCTGCGATAGCGTCGGATGATGCCGAATGGCAGGCCCAAGGCGCCAGCGAAGACGCGCATATTGACGAAGCACGCGAACCAGTTCTAGTTCCCGCTCTCACGTCGGGTGATCCGCTGGTTCGCCAGCTCCAAGAGCTTTTCGAGCAGGGCGAAGATCAGATAGACGCCCAGTATGATCAGAAAGTAGGGCCTTAGACTCCTAAAGATGTCGTCCAATCGCATCTCTTTGCCACACGGCACGACTATAAACACCTGGGAAATGTCCAGGTAGGTGGTGTACTCCGTATTGAAGGAGAATATCCGGCTATACATGGGCAAGTCCACCTCCTTCCGGCTCACCAGTCCCCGAATCTCCACGTCACTTAGCCAGGTGTTCTCGTTCACTGGTTTCCTGAATCTCAATCGAATATTGTATATTCGTGCGAACTGCCTGATGAGTCGATCCATGTAGCCGCCCAAGTATTTGCTGCCCCCCACCCTGTGCTTGGCCAGGAAGCTGCCGGGAATGTGTAGACTCGGATGGGCTATGGCTGTCCTCTGATGAAAGTCGCCCCAGATCCAGTTGAAGATTTTACCTCCATTTGAATCATTCAGCGGCGCGAAAGTCGCCTCTGGAAATGGCTGCAATCGATAGGCGTTTATCGATAGCTCCATCGGTTTGGAGTGCAGCACCAGCATATTCAGCAAATTGTATTTATCTGCCTGATCGGCGATCAGTGATAGATATTGCTGTGGATCAGGCTCGGCAACATTCAACCAGATCAGAGTGCGCGTCTCTCTGATCCGATCTAGAATCTCGGCCAGGCACTGCAGCAGCACGAAGTCCTCCGGCTGCTGTATGCAGAGTAGGGCGAGTGCCTCGCTATTGAAGTGTTCGCCTAGCCTAGTCCCGTCAGCCTCGTCTAGGCGTAGCACCGGTATTCCAATCGGATTCAGCTCGTTCAGGCAGGAGTTTAAGTCCTTTTGCCGTTGCATGAACAGCAACGTCTCAATGGGCCTTTGACTTTGCATTTTCTCTATGAGCTCAAGGATATACCCAACATCTGAGGTTTCAGCTGATACCAATAATCGATAAGTTATCGATTGGCCAGGTAGCAGCCACAAACCAAACATAAATGCACTGAGCGCCAACAACATTCTGAGCCAAGTGGAGAACACAAACTGGGCACTCGCTTCGACATTTTACATTTTCTATTAATTTATACATTAATCTAATTAGTTTTAATCGAAAAAGGAAATCTTGAAAAACTTACTTATCCTTAGTAGGTGTCAAAAGTCAAAGCGAAGGCAGGTGAGCTAATGAAGCTATTCCTCTATAATATATAATATATATAGCAATATTTAGAGGTATATATAAACAAGGTACAAAATAAATATATTTGTATATATTTGCTTATTGCTTAATATTTAAATGTCTCGAAACTTAATCTCTTACAAATAAGAAAACTCCAATATAGAGTCTGCACTTTTATTTAGATATTTTTATTTACCTGTCAACAGGTAGTTAAAATCTTGGGTTTTTGAAGAACTACGAAATTTGATTGGAATCACCTGTAAATGCAGCGTGCCGTTTTTCGTTAAATGCTTCGCATGTTTTATGCTTTCGTTGAGTTTTCTCTTAGTTTCGTTTCACGTCGTTTCGCTGTGGCTTAAATGGGCGTCTATGCATATCTTATCGCTCTCTTTGCTTGCCATTGCGGCTCTCTTTGTTTCATTTCGTTCGGCCATGCTTCGCATTTTATCCCTTGCGCGCGTTTCGTTGCCAGCCGTATCGTTTCGCATTCGTTTCGTTTAGTTTATCTGCTTGTTTGGCTCGTTGGTTGGTTCGTTGCGTTTCATTTGGTTTGTTCGTTGCTGTTGCCGAGCAACTCTTGACGTGAACGGACGTGTTTTTTCTCGCAGCGGCAAACACTGCGAACGCAACGAAAGAACAGACAGGCGACAAATACAAAACACCGTAACGCAACCGAATAAAACTGTAAAGTGCAAGAACGTTATACACCAATACAATACAATACAATACTTTCTCAGAAGGAACGTCTGCTGCGTTTTTGTTTTTGTTATCGTTGTTAAAGTCAAGTGAACAAGTATCCGGTTAAAATTATAAATAAAATTTTATTTTACACCTCTTTGGTTTAGTGTTACGTTTTATGTTGAATTTGTATAGTTTTCGCAATTGTCCAAAATGCAATTGAACATGAATAAGAATCAATTACCGGTGCGCGTGTGAGACTCTTAATAATAATAATCAAAATCAAAATCATAATAAAACGGTGAGCACGAGAGACAATCAAATAATTATAATACGAGTATATGACAAGCTTGAGAGCTTCACGTGCAGCATAAGAAATCGTGATAACACACACACACAAATATATGTACATAAACATCAACAGCAGCATCAGCATTTTGTTGTTGTGCACGCTCAATCGCCGTTAACATCGTGTGTGTTCCAGCAACAGCAGCAGCGGCAGCCACCAACAAATACAAACGAGCAATTTTCGTGCGTCGACGTCGCTGCTGCCGGCTGCTGCAATTATGTGTAGCAGCAGCGACGCTTTAAATAAAAGGTAGACAGCAATAGCAACAAAACAAGCATAACAGGCAGAAGCTTCCGCTGCCTCAGTCGCCGTCACCGTCGCTGTCTCTTGCATGCAATTAATGTACACAGTTTTTTGCATACATAAATTACAGCAACAAAACAACTACAACAACAACAAAAGTAACATCAGCGGCAGCAACGTTTACAATTTGTGTGTGCTTTGCCGGCAGACGCTGTCGAGTGCTGCCGCCGCCCCAAAGGTCGTTGGCGCTAAGGTCACAGTCAACTGAAGAGAGAAGCGAGATTTAGAGAAAGAGAGATAAAGAGTGTACGAATTTCGTGCTGCAAGTGTGACACACAGGAACGCCCCAACAACAATAATACAAAAGCTTGAAAAAAACGGTAAATCTTCAAATACGCGTGTGCCTCAAGTATTTAGATAAAATAAAAACGTAAATTCAACAAACAGCAGCAGCAATCGCTGTCGACGTCAACGTCAGCGCAGCTTGCAAATCGCATGGTAAGTGCCGCTACTTTTTCTTTCCCCCTTTGGTCTCCTTCAGCTTCATTCGCATTTGCCGTTGTTATTGTAAATGATTTGCAGTCACCTTCAGCTACGGCTGGGCTCTTCTGCTTAAACCTTTGCTCTCGCTGTCTCTCGCCCACTCTCGCACACGCTCCATCTCACTCTCTTATTCCGTGAACAACGCATTTGAGGATATTTCTAATCCGTTTTATTGATTGCAGGCAGCGCAGCTGGAGTGCTCTGCCAGCATTGCGTGTGCATGTATTGTGTGATTCTCTCTCTGTGTGTGTGTGTGTTTAGTTGTTATTATTGTTGGCAAGCCGTGTTGTGTTTTTTCCTTCTTCTCTTTTTAATGTTCTTTTTTTTTTTTAGTTCTTCTTTGGCCACTACTCATTTGGGGTTGTTGTTGTTGTTGTGTCGGCTATAAAATCTGTGCCTGCTGCGCTGCCGGCTGCTCAGCTGCTGAGTTGGCTTTTCCTAGTTTTGTCATTCCATGTTTTTATCAGCTGCCGCTGCTGCCGCTGCCACTGCCACGGCTGCTGTGCTGCTGTGCTGCTACGTGGGTGAACGGTAGGAAAAAAAAAAGCTCCATTCGATTCCTCTTCTCACATTCCACTATGGGCAAAAATACCGATAGTGCGGCATAAACCTAATTTTTTTTTTATCTCGAATCCGCAATTTTTTTTTTTTATCTCATTAAGGATTTTCCAATAGACATAAAAACAATTTTTATAAAATTTTGGGGACTTCCCCTAATGTTTTAAGCTTCGTCAAAGTCAGCTGATTCAGGGTTGCATGGTGAATGGCAAAAAGTGCGCCAAATTATTCTCAGCTGTCGACGTAAAAAAACTATTGCAATTAAAATTTACAAACCAATTTAACTATGGAAAATCTTCTTAAAGGTATGCTTAACAGAATGTATTAAAAGATTTTGTGCTACTTGTGATTTATTGTGTAATCGTCCAATGTGTTGCTAGTTGTATTTTCAGCCGTAACCTTAAAAATATTTGTGTGTTTCGTGGAAGATAACTTATAATGTTAGAGTTTGTTGTTCAATGTTTAAGTAGCAAGGTATTCAGTAAACATTCCTTAATCAAATGCTATAAAGGGTTTTTGCTCCTTTTTGCTCCATTTGGCGAAATATCGTATGTTGCAGATACATACGAGATTAGCAATTCAATGTTGCTAGAAGTTTGGAGCAGCAACAATAGGCAAGAAAGCGCTGTCAGAAACTACATTTTGGAAAATTTAAACAGCGAATATATATCTGAAGTGCAACTTGACATTATTAAAGAGAAAGTCCATAATTTGACGTCGTATATGAAATATAATTTGAAAAAATGTAATCGAAATATGAATCGATTTAAACAAAAACATTCTCTTTGGCTAGCTTCTAGTGCTAAGTTTAAAATACACCGTCATGACAACAATAATAATTTGGGAGGTCGGAAGAGCTTAAACTATAATGAAGCGGGATCCCGATTAAGGAGGAAATTAGCTTCTGAGCTTGCCGAAGAGAGCAAAAACGCAACACCCCTTTTGGTACATGCTGCTTTGATTTCATCAAAAAAATCAAAAGAAACCGAAAAAACTTATCTGTTACAAAAAGCTATGAGCAATGAGAATGTGTGGGAAGCAGAAAATAAGCACTCATCCATTGCAGTAGTACCTATAACTGCTGAGGCGGCATTAGCATTTTTAATGGAAAATGGGTTGTCCAAACAACAATATATCAACATAAAAACATTAAATAAAATGCATGGATGTGACATTTATCCTCCCTATTCAGAGCTTATCTGAGAATGAAGAAGAGGAAGAAGAACAGAATGTAATCTCTTCTGAACTGGACGGCATCGAATTGGAAGAAGAAAATGAAGACTATTAGAAACTAATTAACAGGTATTATGTGACAATTAGAAAATGAATCCTACGAATAATATCATATCCTATGTTTTGCTTTCAGATTTGCGAATCGCGAATATATATGTAGTAAATTATTTATTTACTTATTTTTGAATTTATTTATAGTGTTTATTAACTTAAAATATATAATATTTATGAAATTGCTTGCAATCGTTTCGATATTCATCGGTAAATTAATCACATGTATGAGGACAAGGGGAGGGCGTGGCTCAAACTTAAAAAAAAAAAACCGAAATTTTGTATTAATATTAGCAACGTATGTGCAAAATTTCAAGGCTCTATCTTTAAAGTTGCAGTTAATGCCTCACTATCGGTATTTTTGCCCATAGTGCATTCGTGTGTTATTTTTGTTGCTCTCAGCAAAAACAAAGGAAGCAGAGTGAAGAATAACTTTATCAAAAAATTAAGAGAAATATGCCAAGCAGCTGCCCCCGTTGGGCATAACTCAATAATCACATCAAATGTCTCAGCTGCAACACCAACAGCAACAGCAGCCACAGCAACATCAGTGGCAACACCTTCGACGTGTCTGTGGCAGAGGTGTGTCCACCTTGGACGTGAATGCGGCTCCTTCTTGCCCAGCTGCGCGCCATTTAAGTCGCTGACAAGTGTTTTGCCGGCATCTCCGGAATGCGTCCGACTCGCAGCAGCAGCGCCGCAAAAACTGGCAGCCAACATTGCTACCAATTATGCGATAAGCAGCCGCTACCTTTCGACCAACTCGGCGACGCACTTTAAGCCAACGGCCAACAGCCAATGGCCAACTTAACTTTAAGCCCCAGCCAGCACTACGCGAAGCAGAGCACAAAATTGTGAGTGCAATGAATAAAATACTACACTCAAATATTCATTCTGTGAATAGGCAGCATCCAGATGCATGAACGAGGCGAATCTACAATACTCTAACTGAAATATGAATTTGAGAAATTAATAAAAAATGTGATTAAAGTGATATAGTGTGTTTATTAGGATGATTTTGTAAAACTAGAAATTTAAGAAAAAACAGAAACTTCCTATTCAATAATATAATAATATTAAAGATTTCATTTTTATATATTTAAAATATTTGTGGCAGAATTTTAAATTCCTTTAGAAAAATGTTTATTCAAGTGTGATGTGAAGTGTAAGAAAAACAAGATATCAGATACGTAATATTTTAATAAAATACTTTTTAATACTGTACTGTTGCCGATAGAATAAAATTTTTAATTTTATAACAGTAGCAATAAAAGCAGCTGCATGTAAAATGCAAAACTTTTTGATTTAAAATGGAATTATATTAAACGCAAAAGATGACCCCAAGGTTGGTTCCAATGCAATATTTTTGTTATTTAAAATGGAAATATATAAAATTAAAGGACAACCCCAAGGTTGGTTGCAATCTTTCTCAGTCAGAAATAATTTTAAAAAAAAGTATAATTTTTTTTTCTTTTAAGTTAAATTACATATTTATAATAAGAAATAAAAGATTATACATATAAAAAATAATAATAATATTTGGCTCAGAATAATGGTACAACTTAGGAATATTCTAGAAAACAATTTTGGTTCTAACCATACCTTAGATTTTTAGATGTTTTTCAAACACCAAATAGAAATATTTCACCAAATCGAAAAAAAAGAGTGATACCTATGTTTAAATGATAGTTTTATATGTATGTATGTATGTATGCATATACAAAATTTCTTGATTGCTTTGATCTTGAATCCTCTAGACTATTTTAAAGTAAATGTAATTAGACCTCTATTCAGTTACTTCACATGCTACTTCTATATGTGCACCCATTTAGGGTAAATATCTTAATCAAGCAAACGTGTTATTAAAGTAATTGGGCCACATTTGCAAAGAGTATTTATATATACACATAAATATATATACGGCAATAATAATGAAAATGCGCCTGGAAAAACTAACAAAAGGCCGCGTGCGCGCGACCATCAAACGAAACGAAAAGCGTGCAGGCTCGACAACAACAACAACAACAATGGGAGCAGGAGCAACAGCAACAACTACAACAATAACAAAAGCAAAGGGAATGACCTTATATATTGCAAACTGCAACGCAAACAAAGAGCCGCTAATGGGGCGCGGCGGGGGCGGGAAGGGTTGAGAGGGCGGGGCGTGCACATTGCCTGATGCTGTGTTGACGCAAAGATCAACGCTGCCCAAAAACCGGTCGCCAGGCCTCAGTCGATGCCTGTGCCTGTGCCTGTGTATGGGCCTCGGACTCGGACTCGGACTGGGACTCGGACTCGGGCTACTGCGGGGCAATTGGGCCAAAAGCATAAAAATCAGTCAAGAGTCGCCTCCGCGCGGTGGAACGTTGCGAACATTAAAAGCGACAAACAAACAAACAAACGTACAGGTCCTGCCAGCAGCAGCAGCAGCAGCAGCAGCAGCAGCAGCAGCAGCGACGGCAGCAGAGGACGGTGCTGCGGTGGGGCATGCAACTGCGGCTGGTCGCAAAAGGCGGCACATGGGCCAAGCGTAGCAGCAGCAGAAATCGATTTTCTCGCAAACTTGGCCAGCCAGGGCGCTGAAGCTGTAGCTGTAGTTGGAGCTGAAGTTGGAGCTGGAGCGGGGACTGGACCTCAGTTAGCCGCAGGGCTCGAAACGCGCGCATTTTTCGGACCCTTGCTGCCTCTCTGCTCCTCTCGCAGTTGCTGGGTAAACGGCCCATATTCCGAGTAATGGATACACTACTACGGGCGCGCGCTCTCAATGTTGATGATGATGCGACCGCCGGCCGCTTGGTCCAGCACGGGCAGAGGCAGCAGCAGAGGCAGAGGCAGAGGCAGCGGCAGCGGCAGCAAAATTGCAAGTCAAACTGTCGTCGGGTCTGCGTTGTTTAGTTGTTTTATGCCACGTTGTTGCGCCATGGCCATTGGTAATTGCAATTGCCATTTGGACTAAGCCACAGCAACAGCGGACGGCCACTTGCCAGATGAGTTTGCCCTCCACAGGCAGAGAGTGGTTGTGCCGGGGAGGGGAAGGAAGGGAAAGGGATGAGTTAGTAAATCTGCAAATTGCATTCGCTAGTCGCTGCGCAATGGTTTATTTAATTTGTGTT